TTGAAATCTTTGGATTAGACGCGGCCAAGGAACAACTCTGTGAAGTTTCAGCCTCCTAGCATGGGCTGTTTCCGAAAACACTTTCTCGACAAAAAAACTTTCACGTGCCCCTACGTGAGAACCACGTGGACCTGAGCGTCCGTCTTGAGGACACAAGCCCGCACGTACGTATAGATTAAGTCACCAAATTTTCAGCCTTTTAGCTTTTGTGGATCTCGAGATGAAAACTCGTTGCAGACCCACACACAGACACACATACACACACATGCATACACACATACATCCACACACAGGCACACACACACACATACAGACAGACAACCTCTTGACAATTTGCGTTTTTGCACTGCACAGCTGCAAAAACGCATAAAAAGCAGGAGAAATAGCTTTCATCAAGTTACGAGACCTCTTTCCCAACATATCGTTGACATTTCAATTCCGTTATTAATCCCCTTATGCGGAACTAAAACACGGATTATCGGGCTGCTGTGAGAAAAAATTAGCAATAGTAATTATCCGAAGATTGGAGCTCATCTTCGACAATTTTCTCCTATCTCGAGCAGTACTGTTATAACATACGCCAGAAAGAAGAGCTGGGCTGGTCATGCGTTGTGAATGATTGACAGCAAAAAGATTGACAGGATGGATTATTGATTGGTGCCCATTGGGTCAAAACAGCAGGACGGAAGATTGCTTGGGCACTGGAAAGATCCGGCTTAATACATAAATGAAATTATACGGCGATGAGAGCGCAAATTAGGGATGGAGGATTTTGTCTGTTGCATTAACGGTGAGAAGAAACGCACGGATGAAATAGCGGCAGTCAAAGAACCAAATCAGTCAATTAGTCAAGGAGATTTGCTTAATTACAGGGTATTATGATTTACAGCACTTAATAAAGTTGATACGTCGATGCCTCAAGTGGAAGATATCATAATAAATACTTTGTGCATCTGCTCATTCCTTCGTTCCTCTCCACTCCTCAGTATGCATCGATGCGGTCACCAAATTCCCCACTTTTTTTGGATGTGAATTTGTTGCATCAACATATATGGCTCTTTTCATCAATTTCTTTTGAGTCTTCCTCGTGGTGGATTAATTTTTTTACAAGAAAAACGCTAAGTTACCACAAATTTAGTGACCAAAAAGCAGTTTGGCAGCTTTAGATAGGGCTATTCTCCTCTCCCGGTTTGCTCGCTTCTGACAGAAATAGCGCGCTTAAGGGACAGGGCAATGTTTGGGGAGAAAAAGAGAACGGGCCTTCCTCTTAAGTAGTATCCAGAGTTGAAATCGAAAAAATG